GGTTACATTGGGATAATGGAACAGAAAATGGAAACTACTATAGTATCATAGGGTGCGTATTAGCGTCTTTGATGATTTTAGCAACAGTATGACCAAGAACAACGGATGAGAACGATGACAGCTCTGGCTGTGCCTGATGTGACATTCCAACATGAAGGATGCCACTATCTTTGCAGCTGTATGCAAAGGGCAGCTTTAGCATGTTACAGAAGCTTTCTGAACTTGGGAATGCAACCACCTGCTCCAGCGCTTTGTCACACTCCTCTGCAGGCATGGGAACAGCTACACCCACGTCAGCCAGACATGACAAACAAACAAAAAAAATGTTACGCGGAAACGTGCCTTTCATGTTGTTCCTTTGTCAGGCGCATGGAAACAAGTAGCCTTTGCGAACAAACAAATGACAATGCAAGGCTACGAGAAAGAATTAGCTCCTAACATAGCCAATGGCGCGCTGAACGATTGGCATGTCTACCCTCGGCTCCTCCTTGACTTTGTCCTTCTCGGGTCCACACGCCTCAAGCTCCTGGTCTACAGGCTCTTATTCTAAACTTACTGAGGGTTAGTAGGAATTGAGGGAGTATACTATGCAGGGCTTATATAGAGAATATCTTCCCTTATTCCCTACTAACCACCAGTAAGTAGATGAAGGATGTCAGCATCAGGAAGAACCTACTCTGGCTCCCAAGCAAAGGGAAAAAGAACTGTCTAGATCCTAGGTGGCATATTACGAAACACTAGTTTCACCTATAGCAGACCCTTAACCCTTAACACGAAACCCTACACCCTAGTACAGGGTACTACATGGCTTTAACTTGGGTTGCTCCCATCTTGCGGGTCTGCAATGGCCGGAAAGCCGACGATAGACACAGCAAGTGTCCTTTTCAAGGACTGCGGTCAACTCCTCCTCCAACGTCTCCAACGTTTCGATCCTGACCACTTGGCATTGAGAGCCATGCCAGCTAGCATTACTTCCACTATGTTTTGCACTGTACTTATGATCCTGATGTCAGTCCTGTCAGTACAGTACCTATGCATCAATTTCTGTCTACATGGACTATCTGTACTATAGCCCTTCGTACAACTATAAGCAAGCAGCTGTAGGACAGCACGCCCAAGCGAACCCTAAACCCTAAACCATGACAACACCTGGGTTGCTGTTAAGGAACTTAAATTAAGTTACCATAATGGATATATATATATATATAGTAAATAATGGGGTTTCCCCAATATAGTAACTTAATTTAAGTTCCTTAACAGCAACCATGACAACACTTGGTGCGCGCTTCACTGTTGCCAGCTTCGACACCACCGCGCGGATTTGTCTGCTTGCCCTGGCGGCCTGGCCATGCTAGGGAATGAGGGGATATATCATATGAGCTGCAGTCTAAACTCCTTAAAGGGGGTTATATGGGGGATTATATATGGGACTACCATAAGGGTTACTAAGGGGGGTACTAGGAGTTTAGACTATAGCTCATATAGATTATATTCCCTTATTCCCGGCTAACCACGCGTAAGTACATCATGGCTTGAAGGCTGAAAACTATCACTGTGGATCGATTTTTCCATTCGGCACATGTTTACATGCAGGCCGCAAGGAAACAGATTCGTGCTCAAGAGTTTCCGCCTCTGCCTGTTGCTTCGCCGCTGCCTCTTGACAAGATTACACGCACCATTGCACCACTTGCAGCTTGGTGGTGGTGATGACAGGATTGCCTGGCCTTTGGTTAGCTGGGCATGAAGGAAAGAAGAAAATGGAAACTATTACAATGGGTTATATAGGCACTACTATAAGGGTCCATTCCTTCATTCCTATAACCCAAATATATACCCTGTTTTATTATAGTAGTTTCCCCTATATGACCCCAACATATTCCCTTATTCCCTTGAAAATTATAATAGTAGCTAACCAAAGGCTAGTTGCTGGCAAATCCTGATGGCCGGCACCTCTTTCTTCAGGCGACGGTCTTCGTCAGATGCCAGCCTGCGGAGATCCACAAGTAGTCAAAAAGACGCACTTCATTACTACTATTCCTGCTATCATGTTAGTACTATTCTTGCTACTATTCATTCCTATTACTTGCATCATAACTATTATCATGCCCCACCGCAATGCAAACTGCGAGTGCACCTATCCACGCTGATCGTGAAGTTGGTGTCGACGGGGCCGTCGTATGGAACTTTCCAACCACCCAGCGGCGCAGTTCCCAACATTCGGCCTCTGCCAATCAGCATCGCCCATGTGACTGCAAACAGCTGAGCCATTGTTCAAACTCCGAGTATCCCCCTAAGTAACCCTTTTAATGCTCTCCTGAATAGTCCGCTGTATTTAAGGAGTTCAGACTGTGACTACAGCTCAGATGTGCTTGCGAGCGCCGTGCCTGGGTTGTATGCCCAAACCTCCTCCGCACCTACCCGAGGTCCAAACCTGGGTGCATGAACTTTGCTCAGGGTTTTGCCGCTTGCATGGCCATACAGCATCGCTTTCGACGCTGATTTGGTCGGGTTTCCTTACTCGGGGTTTATGTGGGTTCGGATTCTAGTCGGCGTCGGGGCAGCCGTTTGATAAAGTTCAGTAGATTTGTGATTTGACCCGGATTCTAACCTTGCGATTTGCTCAGGGTTTAGAGCTTAGGGTTTGGGATTTGGGTTTGTGGTTTAGGGTCTGTGGGCTAGGGTTTGTGGTTTAGGGTTCAGGGTTTGCACTGCCATGAAGCTCCCGAGCTGCCGACCACCAGCCACAAAAGGTTGGGCTTGCTTTGTCATCCCAGAAGTAGATGTGCACATCCACACCGTCTTTGGTCTGAAGGCACAAAATGCATGAGCAAAGTACTCTATCATCACACATATACTAAAGTAGTTTCCATGCGTCTTTTCCATTACTCCCTATACATAAACCCAGCATTCTGCCCGTAAGCCCTGAACCCTCTTGCCAAACATATGAAGCCCGAAGCTAAAGCTTGGCAAAGTCGGCTCTCTAGCCCCAACTGGGTTGCTTTCAAGGCACTTAACTCTTGTTGAATTATCCGGGAAATCCTATCATTTACTATATAGATATATACCCATAAGATGATAACTTAACTCTTAAACCCTAAACCTATATACCCCTATGCAGCTATATACCCATTCTAATTTCCTATCATTTACTATACTATCTATCCATAAAATGGCAACTTAGATTAAATCCCTCAACAGCAATCCAGAGAAATCCTGGCCTGCTCTGTCTTTTTGTAGACTGGCTTGCCTAGAAAGCAGGTTTCCTTCATGTGGAAAGGGAACTGCAAGAGTACTTGCTGCTGGTTAGTAAGGAACATTGGAATACAATCCCTATAAAATTCCTTACATACTATATCCCCTTATTCCCTATTGAGAACGGTAAGACGAACCTATCAGAGGAAATGGAGATGCAGGGAAAAGCCAGGCACGTTTCTTAGCTTCTCTGAGGTTTGGGCCGTGGTTCTCTCCGGTCCGAACGTACTTTCCGTTGACGATGGTGCCTACGACTTGATGGCTGCAGCCGCTTACCTTGCAGAGAAGGAGGCCACATGAAATCACAAAACCACAGTTTTGACTATTGCGACTATTAAAACTATTGCACTATTAATGTGATTCTTCGAAATATTCCTATTATGATGATTGTTACTGTTATTACCTACTCTTACAATTAGTACTATTATGACTGTATTATGAATCTTACTCCTAATACAGACCAGCTGCAATGATGTGGGTGTCACCACCCACTTCCTTCGGTGGCGGCGCCGGTGGCATCGTGCGGGCAGTAGGGGGCCTTGGTAGAGGCTTTGTGGAGGCAAGGATGTACCCTACAGGTTGCAACAAACAGCTCATAGCTCCTTTTTCTTTCCTCTCCGTCTTCCAGCTCTGCGAGAGCAGGGCAGCAGAGATGAAGAAAGCACTTCCTTGGTCGCACACTCTCTCAGGGCGTGCCACGCAGAGCGGTGAGAGTGTTCTATGCCTGTTTGGGGGCGTCTGTGACTTCTTCAATCGCTACCATCCCATCCTCCAAATGTGTCTTAAAATCAAGGCGTGTAAAATACACATGCATCGCATGCTGTGGTACCACTACCAGGCCGTAGAACAGGATCCCTTGTAGCGGCCAGTTTGCAGCAGAGAAGATGGAAACCAACACGGTGGATGTTTCATTCTGGTTCCCTGCCTACGGTCCTTGCTGCATAGACTGTACTGCAGTATACGGTCAAGCGCTTCTTGCAACAAATTCCTGCAATCGTCTATCTTCATACAGACTGAGGAAGAAAGACCTATCTTTGGTCATATGTAACTGACCCATTATAGTAGTTTCCATGTTCTTTTCCATTCCTTCATTCCCACCAAAGGCGAAAAGAAAGGTAGCAAGGGCTCCACAGCAGCTGCTGCACAGCATGGTCGTCGGCCACAGCCTGCAAGGGCACCACGCTTTGCGCCCAGCACCTTAGCAGTCCCAGCATTCTGCATAGGTGCTGGAGCTAGGTCCTTGTAAAGCCATTACGTCATACCACGGTTCACCTAGAATCTGAAATCCCATCTACTTCAAATTCACAAAGCACTAGGCTTTCATCCTAAGCTGCGCCATCTCCTCGTCATTCGGCCATTCGACTGCATGGAGTATTCGAGCCACCTCCCCGGGTTTCATTTGCTGATGTGTTCGTAAGGAAGAAATGAATGAAAAAAAATGCAACTACTGTGTTATCATTAGGAAATGTATGGCATTCTGTACAGGCCACATCGTTGTCACATCATGTTCGGGAAAAGACAACTTGCAGCAGGTGGGGCTGAAAAACCGACATGCCAATGAAATGAATGGCCACACCTGCACCTACTACTATTACCATCATTACTATGATGACCATTAGTATTATTACTGTTAGTGCTATCATCCTATTATTGACAGTATTGCTATCAGTGATACTCTTACTATTATTACCATTATTACATCTATTGCTATTCTTACTATTGCATCCCATTATTCCTATAGGGGTAAGGTCCAATGCATAATGTTAATAATAGCAACGATAGCTACGATGGCAATAAAAATACTAATGATATTAGCAATAATAGCCGTAATAGGTAATAATAGTTTAATAGTAATGATGGCAATCTAGCAATCATAGCAATAATAGCAATGGTAAAATAGGCCTAATAATAACCGGCAATAAGAATAGTAATACTAGGGTTGCTAAACAGTTGCACCTTCTCTCCGAACTCCTGATCGCTTGCATCGGGGCGGAGTCCGCCTCCACCACACAATCAAAAAAATCCTCAAGTCGCACGGCAAGTTTACAAAGATGATGGAATCCCCAATTTTGGATCTTTTGGCGACCCTGACAAAGAAAATTCCCTGCTATGGGAAGAGCACTGTTGTTGCATGCGACGAAATTCTTGTGCTACGGCTTTGCGGCCCGAATATAGTGGTAATAGCAATTATGGTAGTAATAGTAACAGCAATGATCGAAAAGCTGCTACCCAGCAGAGAGCCTCCAGCCACAAGACGTTCGTGTTGCGGTGTTTCCTCAGCTCTCGAAGAAATGTGGGGGAGATACAGAGATGACGACGCGGGGGGAGAATCATCTTCCATGTTCTTCATATGCTTAATAATGTGGGGAGTGGATGGATCCCCACAACAATCCTTAACAAGACTTGCTACGTTAACCCCCTCTCCCCGTTATGCATCAGTGGGCTACAGTCAGGGTTGCTCAACATTACGATCCCTTTATATCACTTTGCGGGCCCACTTCTGGAGATCCCCGTCTATACAAGTTACAGTACCTTGAATGGTAGAGCGTTCTGGCTGAAGATTTCTTCCACCAGGCGTCTGATGACTCTGCACGGCGTCGCACACGGCGCACCAGCTCATCCAGGTTCTCACACCTCCCACACCGCACAGCTGCTGTATATAGAAGCCGGGGAATGACCAAATTAGCCACCTATAAGCCAATTTTCATCACTACTGGATAATGTATCAAGTTTTCAATTATTCCAGTTGCTTCGGCCCCAACATGGCAGAAAGCCCACCCAGCCCCTGCTTGAGCAAAGACGTTTTTCATCGGTCCGGGCACGGGTTTCTCATTACCGCTGGGAAATCTGCGCCTGATAGCCAAGGAGATCAACCTCGCAGGTCCGTAAGCTTCGCAATATGCCTTTCCTTGGTTGATCACCGGCAGCAGCACTGATAGCTTGACGCTCGCTGTGGGGCAGTAGTAGCATCGCGCATCATCCCGCTTTGATTATTCTTTCGCAACCAGATTGGACCCAGCGTCGCGCAGACTGCGCCCCATTCGTGGAGTCTAGAAGGATGGAGGTGGGCAGACGTCCCTGACATGGCATGCATTGATAAAAAGGGAGGCCCAAATGTACAAGGCATGGCCTCCTCGCCACGTGCAGCCCGTAAGGAACCCAAGAGACGCTGGTGGGTCCTTTCGGGCAGTCAGCGAGTTGGCGATGCATCAATAAATCCATTTGAGTCCTGCGCTTCGCCTCCGCGAAGCCCACATCAGAACGGCGGAGTCTTTCCTCCACCCGTGTGTCAAAGTGGTTGTTACGCAGCTTCCCAGCACGCCAGAGGTCCAAGCCTCGAAGAAAGCCAAGTCACGCTCAAAGACGCTGCAAGCGGAAGTGGCTGCCAGCTGCCTGGCTTTGCTTCAGGCAATCCCCATCAGCCCGTGACCCTGCGGTATCCTGCGCTAGCCTGGCTATCCACGACTTCCCCGCCCCCGGTGGACCGATGGGCAAGATCAGAGTCGGCGGGCGGCGAACTAAGAGGAAGTACCTGGCAAGTTGCTCCATTCGTCTATGTCCATATATGTATGTATAAACATGAAGACATAAATATACGTATATATACAAATATACATATATTTGTATAAATACATATATATATAATACCTGATGTTGACCTGTGCTCATCGGACACAGCTGGCCGAATTCAATTTATATTGCACAGGTCGCGCTGAGAGGAACTCTGTGCCCGCCAAGAGGTCGAAGGATCGGAACTTGCGGATCTCCTTAGCTAAAGCTTGCAAGCGGCCTGCCCCCTGGCTGATAACCCATGCCCTGTGTTCTATGAAGAAAGGCAGGGTTCGAATGCCCCAGGCCCGGAACAAAGCTCCGTCCACTCTGCCGGCAAGGGCATGTGGCTACCTGAGATTGCAGCAGCTGCCAACTCGAAGGAGTCCGAGAAGCATGCTTCATTTTTTGTCGACCCAAGTTGCAGGAATTGTAAGCCACTGCATAGACATCCCGCCGCCCTTGGCAGAGACAGTATGTGCTGAAATCACCAAGCTGTTGATAAGTCCATACCAGCTGCTTTTGAGGGCTGGGATGACACCCTCCGCCAGGCCATGCCGGCTGTTGGTGACATGCACCAATAGGGGACCTGCAACTACAAGGAGCTGCACCAGCTTAGCAACTGCTTGCAAGACCTCATGCCTTCTCCTTCTGGGATCTTGGCCAGCACGCCGCCAAAGTCGTACTTCTCGCAGCGGCCCAGAATCCAGCCGGAGGCCGAGTTCGTGGCAACGCTGGCTTCAGCATCAGCCAGTGTTACTGGGCAGTGCGTATGCGCGTAGACGCGTGGGAAGCCTAAAGACAAGGACTTGGGCAGCTGCATGCTGGAAACAGTGCATGCGGCCAAATCTCAGAATTGTCTCAGTGCGCAGCCAAAACGGCGTTGGAGCGCCAAGCCGATGAAGCCACTGTTCCGCCCGAACATGCAAAGCGTCTTGGCTTGCCCAGCTTGCACGAGGTCGTCCACCCAGCCACACAGAACCTCAATCATCGCCTCTTCAGCCTTGCTGTTCACCTCCGAGAATGAATCCGGAGAGAGCCTGTACGGCAGGAAACTGCCGGGGATTCCCACAGGCGCATCTTCCAGGACCTGCAGGAAGGCAGAGTCGTCGTGCATGGCATGCATACGGGGCAAGTGCAGGCTGGACACGAAAGGATCGCCATGAAGCGCCTGAGCAGTCGCACGTTCATTTCCGTTCCCCAGATTTCAAATCAGATCTCTGTCAGAACTCCTGCCTCAAACATCGGATATCGAGGATGCCAAGGGCTCTTTGGTGGCTTCTCATCCGAACCCGCGGGGGCCACCTGGCAACGGGTTGATCATGAAGAGCACGAGGACCCAGCCGTGCCAGTGCTAGGCCCTGCCTGGTAAGTTATGGATTGAACTGCGGGCAACGCAGCCCGCAGGTCTTCTGCAAAACGGGCACCGCGTCCATCCATCCGCCATGCGGCCACGGATTCCTCGCCACGGAGAACCAGCCTAGGGAAGCCCGGCTCATCTACCTTAAACCTTGGAAAGATTGGCCATTTTGCATGAGCCAAGTCGCTTGACGCCGAGGCCACCGCTTCGGGTCAGCTTGAGGGCCGCCTCCACAAAAAATGAATCATCCTGCGCGAGCTCCTGACATCAAAGCCAAAAAAAGTTGTCGTGGTGTTCAAGCCAGCCGGATCAAGTTGTCCTGCAGTTTGAGGGCCAGGGAGTTGAGCTCTTCAGCACAACTCTCCTGCCAAATGCACAGCATAGCTACAGCTTGTTGCCTCATCTTAGTGGATTAGCCTCTTTTGGGTCCTGGCGTCCTGTTCGCCAGCAAACTGCTTTCCCAGGGAGAAGGATGCTTTGTTCCGATACCCGGAGCTGTTGGTGGCCGTGTGCAGCTCGGGCCGTCCATCGTGCAGCTCGTGCATCAAGCGAACATAGAGCCTAGGAAGTTGCGATGTCATATGAGCTACAGTCAATATTACCCAGGAAGTCAATGAAGATGGGCTTCATATAAAGGACTATATCAGGGACTGTATTAAAGTACAAGAGGAACCTCTATGTCCACGATTAAGGGTCCCTTAGTCAGGCTAATATTGACAGTAGCTCATATCAAGCAAAGGACACAACTTACATTCCAAGTCAAAGCGCGGAGAGATTCCCGGAATGCTGCCACTCTCGCCTTCTTCTTCCTGCCTGATTTTGCTTCGGGGCAGCTCGAAAGAGGTAAATCTGGAGAATCAGTTCCCTAGCTTCATCCCAGCGGCCCACGATGTGGCCGGCCAGACTCTCCATAGCTAGAGCTGCTTGCAGGCCGGGCATAGAAGAATCTCGCAGGGTAGATGCATGCATGCCCTCTACCAAGGGAATCTACATGAATCTACATGGGTGGTTGTCAATATTATGGTCCCTTTTTGGGTACCCTAAATATTAGGTGCCGTATTATAATGGGGATCCAAAAAGGGACCATAAATTTGACAGCCACCCACATGAATCTAAGCTATTCCAGCGCACTCCCTTGTGTATTCAAAGGCACGACTCTAGCAACTTAGGCCTGGCATCACCAAAGCGCAGCCCACGCGCGTCCTCTGGTCCAGCTCGCTGCAGGTCGCAAACGATAGGAAGCCGCTGCGGGATGTAGCGTTCGCTGCAGATTGCCTCGTAAACATGTTCAAATCCAACTAGAGGTAGGCTGTTGTCGCTACTTTCTACGCTTGAGGCACTGAATTGACGAAGTAGGTCGAGGAGTTCGCACGAACGCCGTAGCCCTCGTGTATGTGGCCAAAGGCGTGCAAGACAGGCTTCTTGTCCAGGACCGCCTGGACATATTGCTGCGTGATGGCTGCAACTGGTGGTGTTTGTTGCTGCTTGCTGCTTGCCTGCTTTGCGGAGTGTTGTCGATGAGGACTTCGCCATGTCTTACTTGCATGTATGCCAACATGAGACACGCACGGGTACTCGCCAACTCAATGCAACCTTCCCGAGAAGCATGACCTTGCTGCTGGCATCTTGTTCAAGAATCTCTTCAGTTCCATAAACGACCCATCAAGCCAAACGCCAAAAAAACATTGTCCAATCCTCATGCCCAGCATCTTGTTCTTAGTAGTAGCTAGGAGAGAAGTAATGCGAGGAGCACAAGTGGCAGTAGCAGTACTAGCCACCACCGCTACTGTACTACAGCAGCCCTCCTACAACCGCCGCCGCCGCCGTGCACTGCTACGATTTTACTCGCAATTCATTGCAGTGATCCTGGAGCTGAGCGACCTTCAGAAGCGCCCGGCTCCCTGCAAAAGCTGCGCGGCCATCTTGCCTAAGGATTTTGAAGGTTACATAGGGCTACAAGGGTTTCCAGAGGGTTATATAGGACTTTTGCAGAGGGTTGTATATGGGAACTACTGTGTTCTCTGGGGTTAAGGTCCAGAAGCCCAAATTGCATAATCGAGAATCAAACCGACAAGAAAATGGAAAATTACACGGAAACTCGGGTCATGTAGGGGTTGTATGCTTAGAAGGGTGGCAGGCCTGAAGCTTTGTCTGCAGGCCTGCCACCACCTACTATGACGACTAGGCAAACTACTATACTACAAGCCTTCTCCAACACGACGATGACCTTTTGCAATACTTTCACTGTTTCTGCAAGGATTGCCCTGCAACAGCACTTTCTGACCATGGGAAGGAAGTGCATCATCCCAGTCAGACCTGCAACCATGCGGCTCGTGCTCACTGCTGAGATCACAAATGCCATAGGCCTGGGCTCAATAGTGGCCAATACTTGGAAGAGGGTTTGAGGGTAGGGTAGAACATCGGGAACCTCCAGAAAAAGCTTCTTCAGTGTGCAGACTTCTGCTCTAGACTCTAGATGACCCTATTTCGTGTCGCTATTCCTGGGGCTTGAAAGTTTCATCCTGAACTAATGCGAGTGGCTGGACCGTGCGTCACCAGAATATCGACGCTCTCGACGCTTGTGCGCACGCAGCGGCTTCCTCCACCACGCAACACATAGCAAACGCTGAGAGCAAGGGAAAAGCAAGCACGAAACACAACAAGCACTGCGCAAGCACAGGTGGTGGGCCTGACGTGGGCCAACCACCACCTGCCTCCGCAGCTGTCAGCGCTTGAGCCTGCCCCGCCAAGAACAACCAACCACCCGTTTCTGTTGTGCTCGTCTTTTTTCTGCCCTCGGGCACCTCCTATCAGCAAATGAGTAAATGCTGCAGTTGTGCTCAATTCAGCTGTCTGAGCTGAGTGACCGAATCTTGCGGAGTAATGAAGGAATGGATAACTATGGTAGTCCCTATATAACCCATTATAATAGTTTCCATCTTCTTTTCAATTATTCCTATATAACCCCTGTATAACCCATAAAAGTATATCATAATATAGCAGTTTCCGTTCTTTCCATTCCTGCATTCCCAGCTAACCAAAGGCCAGCATCCCTCAAAGCCATGCGCACGGAGCTTCAAGCCACCCACCATCACCCGCCACTGAAGCAGCCCAATTCAGACTTCGATCCTGGGATCTCCCAGGCCATGCGCCCTTTGAGATTCACACAGGGCATCTGCCCTGGGTAAGTATGCTATATGAACTATTCGATGTTCACATGATCCCACTTTCCATATTCATTGTCCATGTTCTTTTCCAATTGATACGCCATTCTTGGAATGCTGCACACAAGGCAAAGGGAACAGGAGGCTGCTTTGACTGAGAGGTTGGCCGAGCCAGCAACTCCGTGTAGGGGCTTTCCGAATTGGGAGCCACAGGATCTAGACCCGACTCTACTTTTCAGCCTTCTTGTCTACAAGTAAGAGCCATGGCGGTAAACTTCCGAGGAGTCGCAGCTTGCATCACTACCTATCATGTCAGCGCTTCTGCCTGCTCACAGATGTCCCGCCTCCTCCTCGATACTTCTCCCAAACGCTGCCATAGAGTGATCCGAGAAGAACGGGCCTCTAACAGCTCAAATGCTAGTATACTACATCATGGCTCTTGAAACAAGCTCAGTGTTGCTCAGTGATCTGCCTTGACTCGGACTGCCAAAGATCCGGATGGGAGGAAAGTCCTCGCTTCCAATCCTCAGGTGGCCGCTCTGTACTGGAAGCTCAGCAGCTGAGCCACCTCTGTCGCCAAGACTCAGCAACTCAAGGACTTCGTCCTCCAGGTAATGCAAACCTCAGCGCGAGTGCTCAAAAGATGTTTCACAATCGCAGAACTCAAAGCCGGATTCAGGCGTTCACTGTTCAATCCAAGGCGCCTTTGCGCCCTGCTATGATTTCTTTGATTTGAGCAGGGTTTACAGGTTCGACGGTGTCCTTGTGGTATGTGTGACCTTTGCTGTTGTAATAGCCTTCGTCGAAAGTGATCTCGTGATTGCCTGCCACGACAACCTTGGCAGTGTATGGTAAGGAGTCGAGCCACAATGCAAAATCCTCAACCTCTTCGCGCAGACCACTCTTCGTGAAGTCCCCACACACCAGCAGAAGGTCTCCAGGGGGCATGGAGAGCTGTCGGTGACGACAATGAGTGTCGGCCACCATCACCACCCGCAAGGTTCCTGGTTGCTGTGCGCACAGTGTTTCAGGCGCAAAGCCTTCCAGGCCAGGCCAAGACCTTGTGCCCGGTGCGGCGGCCGCACGGGTGACATCAAGGACGCCAGCCTCCAAGGCATCCGCAGCCCCTACGATCAAGACGTTTTTGTTGGTGACGCTCCGGGGGATGCAGCACAAGTGCGCCCAGCCGCCACGCTGCCGCACCCAGCAGCACCTGTCCGAATTTAGCAGGCGCATTGCCTGAGCCGACTCCTTCTCGACCGGAGCATCTGCCAATTTGCAGAGCTCAAAGAAATCGTCCCGTCCACGAATCAGTGCACCACCGGCCCGCGGGTAGATGAGCTCAAAATCATCGCAGCGCTTGGGAATCTTCCCGAAGCAGCAGGTCAAGAGAACGAACTCAGCTTTTGACTTGAAGCAATGCTGCAGGACAGCATCCACAAGGGGCCCACAGGCATGAAGCCCCACCGCCAGTTCAAAAGGCTCCTGGAAGTTGCGAAGGTCCATGCACACGAATGACACGCGCGCTGCTTCTGGGCAGCTGGAGGCCAAAGCTGCACTGCGCTTTCGCCCCTGCTCGCAGTATGCACCCTCCAGCTCCAACACCACAATTTCGGGAGGCTGAGGGAAGGTCCCAAGCAACCAGGCCAGGGCTAAGGCAAAGTCACCCCGACCTCCACCAAAATCTACGATTCGGCGCACAGTCCGCCCCCTGTTCCGGGCTTCCAGCAATCGCTGAAGGACCGCCTGGGCCAGGTACTCAATCTGTTGGCGCTTCTCGCGAAGCTTTCGGAGCTCGCGGCCCAGCAAAGGCGCCTGGCGTAGGGCGAAGTAGCGCCGCGCCGGCAAACAGTTCAGCTCCGGAACCACCGGACGCGGTGCGGTCAGCCAGTTGACATCCATCGGCGTTACCTGAAGGGGGTTCCTCAGAAATGCCAAGAAACAATTCCGCTTCAATTCCCATTTTCAACTGAGTGCCTGCACTAAGTACTTCAAATCTGTTTGTGAATAAGTTTCAGCAACCTCCAACCTCTGGGACCGGCAAAGCCAGCAACGCGTACTTCTGCAGCAAGACCTCTCAAAGTTCAGGCCCCCATATGTAACCCCAGTTTTTCAGATCCGGATCAGAACCTGCGGCACACCACCAGCCTGCTCCCGGGACTTCTTTTGCTGCTGCCTGCCCTGGCGCTTCTCCTCGCGGAAGCCTTGCCGAACCTGCACGAGCCAAAGCGCTGCAATTTGTTGTGCTTTTGCTGCAAGGGAGGTCACCTAGCGGAAGCAAGACTGTAGCAGATGGAGAACTCTCAAAGGTAGGATCTTCCATGATCTATCTAAGGTCCTATTACACCTGCAAGATGACACCAAAGGGAACTCATGATGCCAGTGCTCCAATGCATAGGGCAGGTTCAGGGCAGTTCAAGGCAAAGGCTGGCCCAAACTGTAACACGCCTTGTTGGTGAAGCGCTTCGCTGCCTTCTGCATTTCCTCCTTATCCGCACATTCGCAGATAGATTCCCAAAGTCCTCGACAGGCTCGCATTGCCAGCTGCATTGGCAAAAAGAATCTTGCGCCGGGCTGAGGCCGATGCCCTCTGGCAGACGCGCGCCCATGTCTTCTGCAGCCAACCTGATGGCAGATACGGCAAAACCAGTGGCAAATGGGAAACATCAAACGATCATCGGAAAGTTGTAATGGAGACTCGTCAGCCGGGACGGCTTGCATGAAGAACTTGTTCCAGTAGCCCAGCAATCGCTGGGCTTGTATGCCACATGTTCATGCCCCAATGGGGTGGAAGAGGATAGAGCATGTGACACGCAGAGTAAGCAGGGGAAGCACAAGCAATATTGTCAACGAGTGTCCTGGTAAGAGTCAATCAAGCAATGACAGTCAACAAATGGCGACAGCATAGAGGTGCTGATACCAAAGTACCAACAGCTTCACAACAGTCAACAGACAGAAGACCACAGAAAGCTGGGGCTCGAGCTTCCCATCCCAGAATCTATCAATGAATTTGGCGATGGTACCTGTTGCGCAAGAGCATCATGGAATGTCTCATCAACCGAGTTGCCTCAAGTGCGTCCAGGTTGCTCTGCTTCGTCGCAGACACGCGGGTGACCGACGAACTTGAAGGGTAGCCTGCTGAGTCCTGCCAGCCAGCGGACGATGGCGGCTTTCAAGTTGAGGTGCCCATTTCAGTCGCGCCGTCTCTCCACGGTGCAGAAATGTCTCACGATATGGCACGTCCATGAGATACTTTCACTTATGCAAAACGAGTATTCTAAGGTTCGGGGATTGAGCAGGTCCTCCGTAGCCTGCTCCCCAAGTTGCCATCATGATCATCAAAGGGCTTGGGGTTTATGGCTTGAAGATGCTTGACGAGAAAGGAAATGAAAAAGGAAGAGAGAGAGGGAGAGGGAGAGGGAGAGGGAGAGGGAGAGGGAGAGGGAGAGGGAGACAGAAAGACTTTCATCAATCCCAACCCGAAACCCTAAACCCTAAACCCTAAAACGTGCGCGTCAGAGGGTGCCTCCTGCATCTCTCGCCACAAGCGGACCAGCAGCTTCCATTCATCCCAGGGGGGGGGTCAATCAAAATGGACACATTCTTTTCGAGCGGATTCTGTGGTGTTAGAAGAGTTGTGCGGTGGGGGTTGTAGAGACATTTTGTAGGGACTAGTATTGAGAATGTCTTGTGCCAACAACCTTTATGGTGTGGAATGCTTCTTTATCGTTTCAGATTCCTTCTAGAGCTGGCTGGGCTCCCTTTGAAAATGTGTTTTTCTTGGACTGTCTCATCTTGTCGTGGGTGAGGTGTTGATGTCAGCTTCTTCGCAATTGAAAACTGCTTTGCAAAACGCTATGAGAAGTTTGCATCAGCCAGCCGGCAAGCCCTTCTGCATTGGATCCAGTATGCAGGCTTCCCAAAATCATGCGTGCCCCTTAGATGACCTACAGCTCCCGCCAGAAGAATATACCCAAAAGCTTGGTCCGGCTACAGTTTCTAGAGATCGCGTGTCCATGTCCATGCATTACGGCTGACGCTCTGACTTGTCCAAGAAGGCCTAAACCCTAAATCCTAAACCCCTGAACCCTAAACCCCTACACCCCTACAGCCCTAAACCCTAAACCCCTACAACCCTAAACCCCTACAACCCTAAACCCTAAACCCCAACCCCTAAACCCAAACCCCCCCAAATCCCTACCTCTTCAAACCCTAAAACCCTGAGAAGCTCCAAAGTCCGAGGTGACAGCGGGGGAGGTGCTTGCCCGTTTCGAGGCTGCAGCGGGTTGACTACCAAAGTTGGGTCAACCTTGGGCAAAACACAGGGGTTTAGGGTTTAGAGTTTTTGCCACTTGCATGGGTTTAGGGTTTAGGGTTTTTTTAGGGTTTAGGGACAGCTTTTGGGGGTAACATCCTTTGACCCTAAACCCTTTATTGCTGCAAGCTTGCTGAGGTCCACGCCAAACCCTATACCCTAAACCCTGAACCCTAAACCCTAAACCAAGGGACTTAGGGTTTCCGAAACTCTCCTGCTTCTGGGCCCCTGGCTTGGCCCTCAAAAGGCACCTTCCAGCCACTCCTTCCAAGAGGTTTTAGTGTTTTCGGGTTTAGGGTTTGAGTTTAAGGTTTAAAAATTCTAGGTTTAAGGGTGTACGGCTTAGGGTTTAACATGTTGGTATGGAATTTCCGAAAATTAAAGGGTCCCTTTTGGGTCCCCTTCATGACTTCCCGGGGCTTGATCCCATAGAAGATCCCTTTTGGGGCCAATAGTGAGAATCAAGTGGAAAGAACTGAAACATGAAATGGAAACTGAGCTTATGTAATCGTTTATGGGGATTAGATCTTCCAAAACTTAGGGCGTCAGCAGTAGGGGGAACCCAATTTCTCAAGGCCTGTTTAAGAGTCGAAACTAAATGGGGAGTCTGACCCTAGCACGCGGTATAGCAAAAAACTGGAACTCGCTGGAGGCCGCTTGTTGTGCTTTCTGCCGTTCAGCCTCTGAACCTGTGACATGCAAATCTATGTACAAGGCGGCTTTTGTTGCCGGCCAGATTCTAAATGATGATTTCCTCTCTGCGATCACATCCTCTCCCACAATTGAAGCCCTCGCCATTATGTGTCCAAATCGCCTCGAGGGCCTCCGACTCTGTAAGCCCGGAGCTGGTGGCAGAGGTGAAGAAGCTGCGCTTCTCCGAGATGTGGTGATTGTAACATGCGGAGGAATAGATGTAGGACCCTTTTGGCATGCTCTGCTTCAGGTTGGTCAGCCCAGCTTGGGTCCTAGCGGCAAATTTCTCCGTATATCCAAGCTCCGGCCGCGTAAGGTTTGGATGTGTTTGAATCCCACTGTACCCATGGACTAGGTGAGAGAGTTGCCAGGAGTCAAACTGGGAGGCGATCACAAGGAAGGGCGTCCTGGGGCGCACAGGCTTCAAACCAAAACACTTTGCTGCCAGAATGCTGCAGACATGTGCCTGTCCTCAGGAAGGGCATTCTATATTGGCCAAACAAGCATTTCCATGCCTCTTCATGGCCATACCTCGACATATCACACGTCAGCATTGAAGACTCGAAAGCTGCCATCCGGCTTCAACCACCATCGCTCAGCCAGGCTGCCACTGATAACATGACTCTGAAACTACAGACCAGGCGTTGAAGTTGGCAAGCACATCAGCAGACTGCTGTTGAAAACCTGTGAAGTTGGCAGCAAAGCTCGGAATGTCCTGGGCTGCATGAACTATGCTGCTCAATGAGCTTGCTTCCCTGCAAATAGTGTTCTCAAACTCTTGGAAATACAGGACAAACACAGCGCCAAGCATCAACAAAATACGGAGAATCTAGGAAACCATGCACGCGAACCTGCGGAAGCAGCATCTGCACCTCGTCCAGCAAGACCATTGCACCTCGCGCTCCAGCTGATCCTCCTCCAAAGATGAGCCTCCCAGATTAAGGGTACCTCCTTGTGGGTACCTGTAAAAAGGGATTACAGTACATTGGGTCTTATTGGGGTCCCCCAAATTTTGGAACTACCCTGCAAACATGACGAGCAAGACGGACATTGTTCAAACAACCTTGTCACACCAGTCCATCGAAGCTCCAGCGCCTGCTACCCGAACCTAGGCCTCTCGTCTGGAGGTCCTCCAACGAGCAGTGTTGATACCGAATGCTGAATCATGAAGCTTCTCGATGCATGAAAGCTAAGATCCTTACCTGATATGCCTTCAACATGCACGTCCTTGACAACAGCGCGAACAACGCGTGCACCACGGAATTGCCACGGGCCATATTCTCCATCCCCTCAGCACAAATTTACTGGCATGCGGGCAAGGTTGAAGTTTGATACATCTCGGCGAGTTTTCATGCTGAGGCTCCCATGTATGCATCCGACGTGCAATATGGCACCTTAGACTTAGAAATCTGCAGGCCGAAGCCAGCACAGCTGGGAAACGTTGTCTTGCATATGTTTACGCTCGCTGCCGAGATGCATAAACCTTATTGGCCCCCATCAGCAGCGAGCTGCTCCAGGTGTGGAATATGCCGGTCCTTGGCTTTTGCTCGGCTGGCCAAGTTCCATCAAGTTCTTGTTACGGCAGACTCGCCCATCTGGCGCCAGGATTTTCCGTCAGTTAGCGCACCCCGGCTTGGTCATTCAAATTGTCTTCTTCGTCCATTCAAGGCGTTTTGCCTTAAAATGGTCTCATCGACGTGCGGACCACTGGCTGAAATGACCTACACCTGTAGCTTACAGGGCCTACAATCATATCAGCTCGATCACGTCCATCAGTCGCCCCATTGCAAAGCTGAAGATGGTCTTCAGCACGTCTTCTGAAAGCTTGCGAGGTGCGGGGCTGTTGCTGCCAAAGGCCTTCTGCAAAGTGAGTCGCAAAAGCTTGCTGGGTCGGGCAGCGAGGTCAATGGACCAAAGGCCACCCTGGGACAGCTGCATCCCAACCGAGGAAACGGTGCCCATGCGCTGCCCGCCGAAGACCAGCAGCGTGCTCCCTTTGCCACCTGCAGTCGAACATGAACCCACACATTCCTACTCCAGAACAGAACTTCTGCCATGCAATGCAGAATAGATTGGGGGGGAGTGCATGAGTCTTCTGGGGCTTTCAACCTTCTTGCTCCCTTGACCACCTTCGTTGAAAGCTGCCGCGAAATTGCCGGACCAGTCGGGCGCCATCTGTACGGGCACGCGTCTCCAGCGACGTTGCCACAAGCTCAAGGCCCACAAAGAGAGGGGGCCTGGGTGCTGACCCTTCGGCTTCCCGCGGCCCAAGACAAGTACCCCATTCTCTGCAGTAGCCAGGAAAGGCCGGCAAGGGGCTATGTGGTAGGGCATGGCCTTCTGCTTGTGTCCGATCCACATGGAAGGGCCCGGTTGGATCTTGACTTCAGACCAGTGCAGTGCGCTGGTGTCCAACTTCAGGATCCAAACGTCCCGCAAGAGCTTGTATCGGTTGCTGCCTCCATGTACCACAAGCACTCTCTTGGAGATGGCTGCAGCAGCCTGCCCCCTTGGAGGTGGCCTGGAGCCCCGGGTGTCTAGAGGGCTCCAAAAATTGCTATGCATGCTGTACCGATAAAGGCTGTCATAGTACTCATACGCTCCGCGGATGCACTTCTGGCCTCCGAATAGGTAGGTGTAATCGGTGGCAGCATCGTAGGCTAAGGCATGGTAGGCCCCAACTACAGGCACAACGCCTTCTTCGTCGTTGGAGGTTGTGAAGAACTTGCCAGTGCCCGTGTTGAAGAACCATACGTCATTCATGTTGGTTTCTTTGTCGAAGCCTCCACATATCATAAGATAGTTCTCCTGGCTATCAGGCTTGGGAGGGTGCTCCGTCGGCACCAGAACTGATGAGTGACCCCACCTCCAGCTCGGAACCTCTTCCGCAGGATCTGGAGGAGGATATGGAGGGGTCAAATCATTCCAGCACTTCGTGTGCAGATCCATCCGCAAAAGAGAAATGTGTCGGCCCTGCTGACCCTCGCGTGTACCGCCGATGCTCCAAAGCTGCGAACCCTGGATGCAGATGCAATGTCCGTAGATCTCTTTCGTGGCATCGAAGGCATCTGCTGGGAGGTGCTGCCAGTCATCTACCCGGAAATCAACGGAGATATTTTTCTGATTCTTCTTGTTGTTCTTACCCTTCCCTTTGCCTTTGCCTTTTCCGGCGTTGGCTTTTTTTCGTGCTCGCTTTGCCGCTATGGCCCTTGCGATGGCCTCTTGCCTCAGCCATTTCCCATACATGCCCTTGTCGCGTGATCTGAACCTGTACACGTCCCTTGGAGGATCTGCCATTGCTCAGTGTGGGAGTCTACCATTGTCGTCCCGCTGGTGGCTATTCTGTGAGCCACCCTGGGTAATGCGGTCATGTCACGAGCAATGAGCAGGTTCTGAATGAAATGCCCCTACCTTCATCCAAGCTGCTTGCCACAGGTTGCCGGAAAGTCCTTCTGACAACCGTTGGCTGCAAGGCTTGTCTACAGTGTGACAAGAGTGCTTCTTGAGAACAGGTCCTTGTTCGACATGAAGCATGGGGAGCTTGGCGTTGATGTCTTGCAGGACTGATGAGGGAATGCTGCGCCTGTCTCACGAGCAGCACAGCTGTCACGGTCGTGACACCAGCCACCGCCGGCCAGGTAAATCAACCAGTCGCTGCTTGACGCATTGGCTTCCTGCATGTTCACTTCACGCGGTCATGGAAAATGAAATGGAAACGGAGATTATTATGTTACATGGGGGTTATATTGGGATAATGGAAAATAAAATGGAAACTACTATAATGGGTTATATAGGGTTTATATAGGGATATTATAGGGTAATATTGGGATAATGGAAAAAATGGAAACTACTTTAGTATATCAGGGACATGCATCACCTGCCATCCTCTAGACTTGGGAGGTCCTGCAAGTAGTAGGATGCTTCACCACCGTCATTGCAAACAGCTAATGGATCCACCTGGCGAATTGGACATCATGCGCAGGCACATGTCCCTTTTGCCCCCCTGAACCCTCTAGTAGCTTCCACTTTATGTGCCATTATCCCAATCTTATCCCTATATAACCCACTATAGTAGCTTCCACTTTCTTTTCCATTATAACCCATTCTAGTAGTTTCTCCACCCCCCACGGCCAATGGCCTGGCTGAGCTTGATCTGGCTCAGCGTCGTGGTCGCCCCAGCATCGTTGCAACTCCAAGCCTGGGCTCTCTTTCCAGAGCCAGTAAGGGGGGGGGGGTGGTTATAGGGATTATGTCGGGGTTATGTTGGGGTTATGTTGGGGTTATTTTGGGATAATGGAAAAGAGGATGGAAACTATAATTTGGGGTTTAGGGTAGCTGCACAATCGCTGAAAGATTGCAGCCAGGCAGCACTCACCCTGAGTATAGATCCAAGCAACAGCCTTGGAGGCGATTTTTGGAAAAGTGAAGCCTTTCAACATTCAAAACCACGGCACTGGCATCAGAACAGAATGATGACTAGCAAAAGTCTGCCGAGACACGCCAATCTACCTCCATGGTGTCTTCGTGGCATTCCTCAAGTGGTAAGTTGATGCCAGCATCAAATCACCTGCCTCTTCAAAAGCACCGGCGGAGACGTCACCATGCAGCCGCCATCTTTGCTGCCAAGTTTCAGGGCGTCTAGGCGAGCCAAAACAGGCCACAGCTGCCGTAACAACCTGGGTTGTTGCTAAGGAACGTCAATTAAGGCACTATAACAAGGACCCCATCATTTACGCCATACCCATGATATGGCAACTTCATTTCCATTCCTTAATCGCAACCAAGCAACTCTGCAAAGAAAGCAAGCAGGAAGATGCCAAAGGCGGCAAGAACACAGCAGCCCACGTCGACGATGGACATTGGCACGCTTGACTTTCAGTAGTCGTTGCCAGGATGAGAAAATGCCTTCTGCAAGTAAACTTCATGTGCAAACAGCAGTGCACAATCCATGCAGGGAATCCCCAAGGTGTATGGTCACCCAGGTCTGATGTGCACCCTCACTCTGCACAAAGGCTTGAACCTGTATCCGTTTCAACTCAGCATGCGGTCCCAGAAAGCAGCACATGCACCAGCAGAGGCAAGGCAACGTGCAAGAAGCGAACAGGTTTCTTTGATTTGCGCAACTCGAGTGAAAGCGAATTGGCCGCGGGAATCAGCACATGAGGATCAAAGGAAGCACCAAGAAGAAGGACGCTGCCACCAAGTAGATGAAGGCCTTACCCACCTTGTATGGGAAGAAGACTACGCTGATGATTCCGCTGGTGGCGGCCAGAGCCACACAAGCACTCACAATGAATCTTGGCACGGTGCCGGGCGTGTCAGTCATAGCCCTGGAGATGGGCAGCACATGCATCAAAGCCTCTGAGAAGGAGATGTGGATGCCAGCTGTGAGCACGGAAAGCACCAGGAGTCGGAAAGACCAGGAGCCCAAGCCGACATCTACGCTGGAGGACTTCCGGAGGTCTGTGAAGCAGGCATCTACTCCCCGGTGGCCCTCGTACAAGCGGAAGATCTCCGGAGTAGCCACTCCAGTACAGCAGCCGGCCACAAAGTTGCAGCTGCAGCAAAGCCTGCTTTGGGGACAAACCTGATCCTCCTGGGCTAATCCAACCCGTGACTTCCGGGCTTCTTGCAAGACTCGACGTTTCTGCTCGCCTTCCTCATATACCTGAGGCACCAATCTGAATGGAAGAAGGGTAGCAGAGCCGTCGCCATCATCTGCAGCCTGCAAACTAAGTAACTATGTAGGCATGTTACTGGAAACACATGGTTTCTATCATGGGAGCATATAGGCTGTAACCTGGTTCTGGCTTGGGTTGCTTTCGTGCCTAGCCTGCAAAGCAAGCACCGTTGCAACTCCAGAAGCCGCCATCTCGAACGATGCCCGTAAGTCCCCTAGCATGGGCTCTGATGCTACCTGTGGCACAGTGGGTCTTTTCAAAATCAGGAGTCGTGCGGTCGCTGGGGATGTGCGGGGACTGCCAGGAAATTACGGGATCTTCAGTCTTGAGGATTGTATAGGAGTGGAGTTGTTTTGGGAAACCCCCACCTTCTCAACTGTCCAGTCATTGCCCGCTCGCCAGTAGTACCGGCCATCACTGTGTAAGAGAAAGCGCAACTGGCCATTGTGTGTGGACACTTCGGACCCTAGCAGCTTTGATGCGGGCCGGAATGAACAGCACTGGTCAAGGAGGCCGCGAGGCAGAAAAAAACCTGACCCAAACTTCACTGAAGATGCATTTGTGACAGTTGTTCCAACTGCTATGGGCAGCGTGGGTGTCTTCTTGGACGGATCCCGACGCAGGAGTGCAAAGCTTTGTGGATCCTCCGACCACTGCTTCTGCGACTGAGAGTGTCGACTGTCGGCCCACTGGTAGGCTTGCACCTGTGTTCTCAGACGGACGCAGCCCGTGCTAAGCTTATGGCACGCGAAGCGCGGATCTTGAACTGGCAACTCCGGCTTCAGCTGTCCGGGCAGGTGGACCAGGCAGCCACAATTCTCAGGCATTGCCTTTGCTTCCTGAACGCTTTTGCACATGCTCCGGCCGATGGAGAGCAAGCACTCCAATCGGGCGAGCTGCCGCTCAAAGTACCAAGATGCAATCAACCCAACTAGAGTGAGCAAGAGGCCTAGACAGAACTTTCCGGTGTTTGTCACCCAAAGGATGCCATGCTGCTTTACATCAGCCTCGTCTGCCAGGGCGGGCTTCACTTCTTGACTTTCCCGTGCCAAAGCGACATCTGGATGCTGCCCAGGCTTGATCAAACTGAGGCCGTCTGTTGCAAGGCAGCTGAAAGTGAGAATCAAGAGGAGCTCCTTACTGACCATTGAGAGAGGATGCTGTCCACATGCACCTTCGCGGCCAAGGAGACCAACTTCAGGTTCAGCGCTGGTAGGATGGAGGTTCGATCTCAGGAGGTGAAGGGGATTACGACTACCCCCTCACTGTTCACTTGAGCTGCGTGGCGACAGAGACATACAAAGTTCCAGCCTAGTCAAAACAAGCACTTCAACAGTTGGGAACTGGGCAATGCTCATTCAGAGCTCAATACGCCGCCGTGGCAAAACTACAACAGCGGCGTCCTTGGAGGTGTGTGATCCTCCGACCCGGGTCGGAATGACCAGACCATGTCCCCACCCACAGAGGCACCGAACCACCTGAAAGCTGCCATTGCATCTTCAAATCTCTTCAGTCTTCTTGTGAAGATGAAGGCAGCCAGCAGCGAGGGGTCAGCAAAAAGAGAGGATGGGCACTCAGAGCAACATTCGTAATTAGCCGGGATCTGGACCATCCACACATATTTGGACCATCTCGGCTATCCCAGAAGTAGATCTGCACCTCCTGGTGACCGTGCAGCATTGGAGCTTCGTTTATGGTTACTAGCAAACATGCAACAAGTCATGTGCCCCGCCTGCCCTACCCCGAGCTTCTTGTAGACCGGCCCTGGGATGCACAAGCGTCGATGCGGGGCAGTGACATCAAGGGAATGGTCTGAGAACGTGCTCGAAAGCTGGGCATTCATCTTGGAACACAACTTCGCAACTTGGCAGGACCATGACTGCGCCTCTCATGAAATGTCCGTTCTCTACTTGCTGGATGTGTGGCCGACAGACAAAAGATCCCGGCTTGCGCAATCCTAGGCATTACCTTCCCATGCCCCGGACTTCCCCTCGCCCTAAACACGGATGACAAGCTGGCATGCTTGCTCGCAATGTTCGTAAAAACCTCTTCTGAAAATTAGGTTCATGGCCCTAAGCCCGATGCAAAACATGCTGCACTGAAAAGCTAACCGAGCCTTGATAAATCCACCTCTCCCTCTTTTAAATGCAGACGACTGCAACCCTTCACGCAGCCAAGCCACGCCCATGGTTGAATCCGCTACGAAAGTACTCGCCACCTCGGGCTTGGATAGCAGAAGTGCTGAAGCAAAATGGTGAGGGCATCATGCCAAGGAGAGAAATGGAATTCAAACCTTGTCTTGCGACACGATTCTGCAGCTGAAGTGCGAATGATTGAGCCGACGGTTTCATGCCAGCATCCCGATACCACCTCAGACACACGCTTGGTAACTCCTCCTTACCAGGTTTACCCACTCCGCGGGACTTACTGGTGGTCAGTAGGGAAGAAGGGAAAATTATCCTTATAGAACACCTATAATCACCTATATAGCATATTCCCTTATTCCCTACCATCCATTGTCTTTTTTCATTATTCCCTATGTATAACGCCTTTTTGCATCTGGGCGAGGCTCGCACACAGCCATATACAACCCCGAAACCCCCCACCCCCATTACTCCCTATGTATAACCCCAACATATGATTCCCTAAGCCCTTTTTCCGGAAACCCTCAAGCCAATGTAAACTTACCTTTACTTAGGGTACCCAAATTTCCTTAACTTTAGAATTTTAAAATCCAAAATGCGCCCCCAGACCCGAAGTACTGGTAATAAACCCTGAACCCTAAACTCTAAACCCTGAACCTTGGGTCAATCCCCCACCCAGTAATGGGTACCACAAGGGACTATTGTAGGTATATTAAGGCCCTATTAACTCCATGTTAAGGAGCCATTACTATAGGGGGGATTGACCTAACCTGAACCC